CCACCCATCCATCCATCCATCCATCCATCCACCCATCCATACACGCATCCATACACCTATCCACACACCCATCCATCCATCCACCCACCCATCCACCCATCCATCCATCCATCAGCCCATCATTCATCCATCCATCCATAATGCATTCTTCCAACCCATGCCATCCACTCACCTCACCATCCATCCATAATGCATTCTTCCAACCCATACCATCCATTCACCTCACCACCCATCCATCCAACTTGGAGTTCCTCTGGGAACATTGAATTTATCAATCATGTTTTTCCATCCAACAAAAATATCCATGCGATTACTAACCTCCATTGAAGAACTTGCCATCTTGAAATTCTTGCAGACCAAGTTCTTCAAGACCGACTCCAACCAGAGCTACATTATGTGCATCCAGCTGTGGTTTGATAGAGCTGAGCTCCACCGCCCACAGCCTGCACAACTGTCATCCAAACCGCCGAAGAAAAGCAACCACTGCTGTTTGTTTGCTCCATAGACTTTGAACCTCAACCGTCTGCAACGAGAAAGCACACAAAAACATCTCAAAAACACAAAATTACTATGAAAACTAACAAAATTATTTAACTAACCTGGCCTGTAGACACAGAACGAATGATATTAGTTGCTATTTTCGATATATCCATGGTAAATAAGTGGGAAATTTAGCCTAAAGAGCGCATTATATTAGACTTTGAAGGTTCGAAGGCGTTGTTGTTACATAACAGGTGGTCACGCGACCTAGAAACACAGGAAGCCCAACAGTGATCCACGGAGGATTTTAAAGACAAATAGAAAATGGGAGAAAAAGAAAAGGAAGGAAAGAAAAGGAAAGGAAAGGTGAGATAAGTTAAGGAAAGGAAAATCAGAACAACAAAAGAAAAGACGCAAAATTAAATAAGAAGAAAAGAAAGGAAATGGGAAATAATGCATAACTTTCTTTTCACAAGTTTTGAAAAATTAAGTAGTTTTCATTGCTTTTTGAAATATTCATTTAATGAAATAGTTTATTATTTATTATAAATTTCGGGACCTAAAACTATGTCATAACATATAAATAGCTACAATTAAGTCATCAAAACGTCATCATRACATTATTGATAGTATGCGCATGCTCTACTCTAGTTTAACACCAGGTTTTCTCCATGACATTTGAGGAACATTTACCACGAAAACAATAAGAATTATAAACAATATAGACAGCTGATATATTGTTGTCTAAGAATTCTTCAAGCTGTCAAAGCTGTTATTTTCAAGGTTATCGTCTTGTAGGAGGAAGGATTTGTAAAATATCCCCCACCAACAGCAGATCTGTGGTCAAAGGATTTTGACACTGGGATTATAAGTTGGAGAGCAGTTTTTTTCGTATTAATGCTCTTCTAAATCAACTAGTCATTGGCCTTTAGGGTATTCTTTTTTTACCATAACGGACAGCGTTAGCTGGTGTTGATCGTTCAAACAGGAATTGTTTGTCTAGGCCGGTCCTTTGGTTTTGGAATATTTGCTGTAGATATTGAGTTAAGCTGTTAATTATATCGATGAAAATCTTTTAAATATTTCGAAAAAGATTGATTRAGCTTAACTTTCGGATTCCAAGCTTCTAACATGTCGAATGAAGTCTCAGAGACGACCACCCACGTACCGTTGCTGAAATATGAAGATCAAGACTCTCTTGTTGGGTTTGGTGGTAGCAGGGAAGAAGGAATGGCCGACTCAGACAGCCTTGAAGGACATATTATAACAGTTGTCAAGCCATCAAGCAACAATTACCTCGTCAGGATGATCAAAAAGCAGACATTTTGGCTGGCAGTTTTGATCTTTGTTCTCATATTAACGTGTATTATTTTAGGAACTTTGTTATCTCGATCGAAAAAGGAGTACAAATCGCTTTCTAATGTCTGTCTTACTGAAGGTTGCTTGGACTCAGCACACTATATGCTCCATGCTATTGACCCAGCAGCAGACCCTTGTAAAGATTTCTTTCAATATTCTTGCGGAGGATGGATAAAGAACCACCCTATACCTGACAGCCAAGCGTTTTGGGGCACRTTTTCCAGTCTTTGGGAAAGTAACATGAAAGTAATGAAGCGGTTATTGACCAATCAAGCGATAAAAAACTCTACCAGCACGGCTATCAAATTAGCAAAAACATTCTACGATTCATGTATGAACATGGACGAAATCAATAAACGAGRGGCTGAGCCATTAAACAAAATTATCAAAGACCTTGGAGGATGGAGAGTCAGTGAAAACACCACTGGAAAAAAATGGGATGAAAAGACGTTCAATTTCGAGGACCAATTGAAGAAAGTCCAATTACATTATGGTGCCTCTGTGTTGTTTAGTTTTTCTGTTCAAGCTGATGACAAAAACTCATCAAGCAACATAATTGAGGTTGGTATTATTGGTTGGTATTAAATTATTAATTTTTGCTTGTTAGATTTATTTAATAATAATCGATTTAACAAAGATATGGAGACTTTGGAAAGATAGTTTATATATCAAGATTTTAAATTATTTGAAACCATTTATTATTATTATTTTTTATTTCGTTTGGCACTAATCAATAGGTACTTTTTATTCATTATTCCATTAATTTCATTCATTCATCCATCCATTCAATTTCATTCATTCAAATATTCATTCATTTTTTCAATTTCTCTTTTTTCTCAGGGGGAGGGGGGGTGATTTCTCATGGTTAGTAGTGAATGACAACTACACCCATGGGAAATTTTAGCTATGCTACAACATAAATACACTAGTATTATTAGCGGTACTTCGCGTTTACTTACGAAAGCATTATCATAATGATAATATGCCCACCATTTTCACAAGGGGTTTTCCTTTGTTCTACCAGCAATCAATTTCTGGTTGGCATATAAATGGACCAAAACCACTTGGGCATAATGTTTTGCCATTTCAGACCACTTACCATTCTCTTG